CCAGGCCAGGTGTCCCTGGCTTCTTGCCTGCCCAGGCACACCTGGGCTCCTGTTCAGCTGTTGCCAGCCAGCAGCTTCACAGACACTCTGTGCCAAGCCTGCTTCACCAGATGGCTGATGTTAAACCAAATCTCAACCCAGATGAGTTTGCACAGCCTTCACTTGACTGGTTGTCTCTCTCTACTCCATGCAGCTCTGGCTGGATGAGGCTCCTGGAGCCCTTCAGCAGAGAGAGAGGGAAAGGGAAGCTGGGGCAGAAGCAACCAGCACAAGTCTCCAGGAGACCCTGGGACAAATGGAAGGATAGAAAAGTAAAAAAAAAATAAAAAAAAAAAAATGTAGAAATATGCTGTATGAAAAGTCCTTGAAATCAGCCATTTCCATCAGCCTGAAATATCTCAGCAAGGTCAGATGCCTGAACCCCCAGATGAAGTGACACCCATCTATGTGGGTGAGATTTGGGACTTGGTTTATTTTTTTGGTTTATTTTTTTCAGTTGTGATGTAATGGAGGAAGGTAAGATTGAAGCACATAGTCAGTGGCTCAGCACATATATTTTTTCTGCTGTAGTTTCAAACCACTAGAAAATTCTTTAGTTATGCAAGTGCACTTTAAACTGTAACATAGTATCTACACCAGAATTTCATTTTTCTCAATTCAGTTCTTTGTGGATTTATTTCTAATATCACTCCTTAATTCTCCTTGGAGTTTTAGCTAAGACAATATTTTCATGGCCAAGCAAAGCAAAAGTGGCCACAAGATGCAGATCACAGTTGGGAAGATCTTGTGTGAAGGGATGCAAAAGCCCATCAGGGTGAAGGATGCATCATTTTTCAGCAGCTACAGCTTGAACCATAACCCTGGGATTTCAACAACATGGAGCACATTAGCAACAGGACCCTCATGTTGGGGAGAGATGGTAAAATATCTCCCAACTCTTTTGGTACTTCAGAGGTTGCCATGCTTGGCTGCAGAGGGAGGAAGGTGTGTCACAGGCACTTGTTGCTCCAGTCTTGGAGTTTTTGTCAGGGACAGAAAGTCACTTCCAGAGACTGTCTCTTGTTCTCCCTGCTGCTGCAGCAGCAAAGCACCCCAGTTTGGAAAATGAGGGGGAAAGGGAATGTAGTATTTAAAGACATACCAGACTCACTCATTAAATTATTATTTTAACCCTCCTCCAATGGAAAATAATGAATCCAGTGTCACTCTGATTTTCAGGGCCTTGGCCATAGTTCTAGTTCGGGACCCTGTGCTTTGCTTAGATTTTCCTTCCATCTCCCTGAGAGGGAGGTAAGTGGAGCATGCAGAGTTTCAGAGTTCAAGGAGTGAGCCAGAGCAGCCTCTCAGCTGCCATTACAGCAGCACTCCTGCTTAGCAGGGTAACCACAAACACCGTGGGGTCAGGGCCACACACCAGCACTGAAATGGTGCTGATCCCATGTGGAGCCAACACAGCACCAGTGCTGGGATGATTGAAGTTTCCACCTTGGCAACTGGCAGAGTGTCAACTACAACTGGACTGCCAGTCAGCTGTGTTTCTAGCATGAATATTGAGGGGAAAGGTGATTTATTGCAGCATTTTAAGCCCAAAGAAATTAAATCCAAAAGTGAATTAAAATTTCTGTGGTAACTGCTCAATCAAAGGTTGAAGTGCAGTATTTCTGCTGCATTTAAATAGCAAAATATTGTCTGCAATTTGCCAGCGCAAATGCAAACAAGAACTTCAAAGGGCAGTGGCATTTTTTTGTTGTTGTTTTTCCTTCTCCCTGGCTAGAATGTATTATAGCAAGTTTGTGTACACTTTGTAGTATTTTTCCCTGCCATGACAACTTAGGTTTTGTTTGCTTTTTTAAGGGAGGGAGAAAATCCCAGCTCTTGCTTTAATGATCTTCACCATAGTGAACTTAAAAGTAGCTTATAGCAGGGGAGTCTGGCATCTTCTGTTTGCATCAGTCAGTTGCTAGTTACTGATCTCAGAAGCCAGGCTTCATTTTCTAAGCCAAATAGGCTGCAGTTGGAAAAACCTGATTAAAGTGAGTAGAGTTTTATCTGATGTGGATATTGCCACTCATTTCATCGTAATTACTTTCTTTCCAACTACAGATGACTTGCAGAACACAGAACAAAAAGTACAGATCAGTTTATAATGCATTCTTCTTAAAGCTGAAGTGATCCTAATAGGCCATCAAACTACTAGAAGACTGCTTGGCATGTGGAATAAACTCCTGATACAGCTGCTGTAGTTAATGTTGCTATCCTTACACAGAAGTCTGCCATGAGAGAAGCCACTTGCTGGGCTGACATTATTGTGAAATCATCTTGCAGCATCTTGCAAAAAATGCTGCTGTGATTGTAAACTATTATAAATACTAAAAAAATAAAAATAGAGAGGTCTTGACTTTGCTTCCTGACTGCTGAGCATCTAGGTCCTAGTGGCTTCTCCCTCTAAGGAGTATGAAACCTCGAAACATCTGAGATCTTGACAAAAAATTGCTCATTCTGGCATTGCTCTGTGTTACTTCCCAACAGAGAGAAGTGTTCCTTTTCCTCTCATTTCTGAGGGACAAGAGACTGTGAGTAGGAAGAATAGGTGAAATTATATTTGGAGAGGTTCATATACAAAGCTGGCAAGCTTGGAGACAACACACTTGATTCAAATGGCTATTTACAGAGCAGATCCTCTGCAAGATAACTTATGAAAAAGTCCTGTGCACAGAAAACAGTTTTTCATGATGAAATAAAGAGCCCTGAAGCTGTGAAGTCTGGCATAGCTGTAAAAATAACTTTCATTTGGGAGGGGAGGCTGAGAACCCTGCAGCTCCTGATTCTTTTCAAAGACAATGCCTGTAGCACAGCAAGGAACATGGGGGCTATTGCAAAACTCCTGCAAATCTCCACCAAAACTCAGTTTAAAACACTATCAAAGATTAAAGGCTGCACTCTTGCAACTGCATTAATTATTAAGGCAGCATTCAGAGCTCTGTAAATGGCTCCTGTCTGTTAGCACAGCATTGAATTTAAAGGTTAGGTTGGTGGCAGACAGATGATGATGATGATGACAACAACATATGATTTGGGGAGTTTTTTGGCATGGGGAGGAGGTGTCTTCTAATACTGGAAGCAATGTTAGGAAAAATCAACCTGCCATCCATGTAGCAGGGGTTGGGAGGGAGAAGGAGGCAGCTGGGCTGTAGGGGAAGCAGGAGTGCAGTGCCGAGTTCCCTTGCCTATTGCAGCCTGAAATTGAGCAGTAATATTGCCAGGAGGTGAAGACAAGGCAACACACTCCCAGACAAAAAAATACCCTTTCCCTTACCCCTGACAAGAAAACCCCAACCCTGTTTCTTCTCAGCATAAGCGCTAGCCACCGTGGCACACTTCGTGCAGATGTGATGAGTATTTTGCTTTAATTTGATTAATTTTATTGGGAAGAAGTTCCATCCCTTCCACCAGCCAGAAACCAGCCAACCCCTGTGAGGGCCCACTCTCCCCGTTTCTTTGCTACAGTTATGAGTGATTTATAAATTCCTTTACAGAAAGAGTCACCACCATCATATTTGAGGAGCACCTGAGAATGCAGATATGAAAGCAAAGCCCAGGGGTCTGGCAGACTGGCAATTATTCCAAGAGGCGGGAAGCTAAGCAAGGGACAGGACAGGGTGCCTCTGCCTCAAGGAAGAGGCCACCTTCCTGATAGAAAGCATGCAGAAAGTATTGCATTCATTCTTGCAGCACTTAAGTTTGAGAATGGAACACAGTGGTGGAGAAGTCAGCACCAGTCTCTTCCCCCACCACAGAGAGAGTCTGGCCAGGGAGGGGTCCCTCAACAAGCCCTGAACAGGCCATGCTGTGACCCTCGTCAGCAGAGACCACCACAACAATGCCAGGAAATTGTCAGTCAAGTTTAATGCATCATAAAGAAGTAAAACTACATTGGCATATTTAAGACAAACACTTTTTTTTTCCTATTCACACTATCCACTGGACAGCCCCCTTTTCAAAATAACTACTTTTAACAGTTGAAGACAATTCTTCAGAAATTCTTCACATATTAAACCTTCCACACTTTTCCTTTTTTTTTATTTGTCTGAGAAGGAAAAAAAAAATCATGAAACCTGAAAACATCTACATTGCAAGCCATTCAGAATGCATAAATGCATACATTAACCAATGTATAATAACTGTGTTTTACTTAGTTCACTTTGTTCATCAATAAAAGAATATAAAAATCTTGTTCAATCGAGTGTTGTGTATTAAAATAGATTTGTATAGTACTGCACAGTTTCTCCCGGAGTTGTGAAAATGGTTGAAGGGACCATGTGCTGCCTAGTGATGGGCAACAGAAAAAGCCAGTCCCTCATGTGTTTTTTTTTAAAAATTAAAAACAAAAAAGGCTATTCAGCACCAAGTGATATGCTGATGTGAGAGACTAGCCTTGTGTCCTGCTCTGGTGGCTTTCCATAAGTACCTGTTGTGCTAACTGATGGAGAACTCATAAGGACAGAGACAATGGCTCTGGGAAGTGTGAGTTGAGAAAACCGGGGTGTCCATCACCACCTTCCCAGGCAGCCACAGGAGACAAGGCCCTGGGGACCAGGCAGGACCATGCAGAATCAGGAAGACCAGCTAGTAAAACAAGCAGGTGCACTGGGATTTTCTCAGGCTAATGCTAAACACTTCCCAAATATGCTAGGATCCAACAAAATGTTAAAAAGGAATCAAGTTTTCAAAAACATAATCCTCCCAAACCCTTTTGATTTTCCATGCCCTGTCCCTCCCCCAGAAGTATTGAGTTCAAGTCTCCAGTTTGAGAAACAACCCCTTGAGGCAGTTTTTTTTTCCTGTACCATTTCAGCAGATATTTCTACAAAAAAAAACCCAAACAAACAAACAAAAAACCCCAACCAAACAAAAAAACCAAAAAACAAAACAACCAAAACAAACCAAATCAAAACACAAAAAAAATCATGTTACATATCTTTAACAATAAAAATGCAGTACAAAAAGGTAAAGTTTTCTTTTTTGGCATATTATCTGTACTGACAAGAAACAAAAGCCAGAATATTTATTTGATTTTTTTTCTTTAAAAAAGAATTCAAAATGAACAAAAAGACAGAAAACCACAAAATAATCTCTTTAAAAAATGAAACCCAAACTGTCAAAGATATCCACTGTTATGGTTGATGCTAAACCTTGCACAAAAACTCCATGAGAAAAATACACTGATAGCAAAATAAGTAAAAAGGACCTGCAAAAGGAGTTTTACAGTCGTATTTTTTAAACATTTCAGAATGCATATACAGATGCATCAGCATGAAAATACTTCAATATTTTACTAGAAATGCTAACTTCATACAGTTTCTTTATTTAAATATCTGCAATTCTCAAGTCTAATAATATGGGAAAAAAAGATCTTTTGTTTCCAAGGCTCTGTGAGTGTCCGTGATGCTGTTCTGGTCACAGCGACCCCATCTCCAGGTCACCTGAATCAATGGGGCCAAACTTGTTCCTCTTCCATGAAAACAATCCATGTCAAGTGCTAAGTAGCTCAGCTTCTGGTTATCTCACCGATTCCCCCCCACACACATAGCTTTCAGCCCAACTACTTCTCTAATACCTCACTATCTCCTCTTCCCTTAGAACAGAAAGTCTGTCTGCCACCAAAAAAGGCTATCCTGCTTCCTATCAGCCATGCTTTTCCTGTTCATCCTCAGTCATAAATACATTAAGGCAAACATAACAAAACAAAATGTCATAAGCACTGAAGGTCTTGGCAAATACAAAACTGCAGCACAACCCGCTCTGTGGGAACCTGCTGCCACAGTGACCTACAAACTGGGCTGACTGGTCTGTAAGTCTCTAAGTGTATCAAAACTGAGATTGCTCCTTCTGTCCTTTGTTCCAGTTTCATCTCTCCTCTGCTCACATGCAAAAAGTTTCTCATTGCTGACTCTTGTCAGTTGTTACCCTGTGATGGCTGCAAGGCTTTGTGCATGGCAGCAGAGGCAGCAGAGGGTTTGATCCAGGGGATGGACAGCAGGGAGGTGGTGGTGGTGGTCGTCATGGTAACCTGAATCATCTGCTCATTTTGTATCAGTCTAATGAGGCTTTTGAGACGTTCCAGTGATGACTGAGTCCCTTTCTGCTGGGCCATCAGGCTGGTTTTTAGCTCTAAGCATTTCTGTCAAATAAAGAGAAGGGGAGAGAGAAGGAAAGACTGAGAATACATTCAAAATGGTGTCAAACATCTCTCCAAACATCCTTTGGTGCCTTGGGTGTGCATTCTGCTCAAATGAAGTATGTTCTCCTTTGGGGAAAGAAAAACCACAGCTTAACAAATGGAGTAATCAGCTGCACATATTGCAGCAGCTGTCTGAGGGAACAATATTCTTCCCAGGCAAAATGCATTTGGAGGATGTTTCTGACTCCATCCTGTAGACAGCCTGGCAGGAACACCTTCTGCACTCCACAGAGCTGCCTGGCAGGGCAGTGCAATAGCTGTGTTACTGAAAATATAGAAGGCACCACTCAGGTCTCTAACTCTTACCAAAGGACCCTGATAAATGCTTGGTGGGTGAACCTCACTAGGATGCATTTCATACATGCCACACATTTCAGGGAATAGGCTATGAAAATACACTGATCTCACTGAACATGATATCAGTATTTTTCTGGTAGAAAACCTTTCTCCAAGACACAACTGTTACACCAGGGCACTCACAAGTAAGCTTTCATCCCTCAGGGTGGCCAAACTGCACCCTGTGATCACTTGAAATAAAAACCTCCATGCAAATGGGCATGAGAGTAGGAGCTAAACAAAGGCATCCCAAACCCTCCATTTCTCCAAGAAGAGATAGGAAGAACCAGTAATTCTCCTTCCCCTCCCCAACCATGGGCTGCTGCATCCACCCCATTCTTCACTGAGGGACAGACCCACATCCTGAATCTGTCTGCAAGATGAAAGAGGACAGTGGTCTCTAATACCTGAAACCTGTTTTCTTTCTCCCAGAATGCCCAGGATTCTGACCAAACTGATTACTTGTCTGCAGATTGCTCCTCTTTGGCTATGGTCCAGACTGTCCAGGGATGGGTATTTTCCAGTCCTGGGGAACTGGGGAATGCTCACTTGAAAATCAACTTGTTTGGAAAGCAACTGTGTGGAACTGCTCAGAGGTTGGTTTAGAGAGATGAAATTTCAGATGAAAGATAAATTATATTCTGTTTTTACCATTGCAGCTGTGGGGTGTATGAGAGTGTTCTTTTTCATATAAATATCTCTTAAAATGTCAGAATGAAATTGCTCTGTGCTGTACCGTTAATTTATTTTCTCCTTTCAAGTGGATACATTTCCAATAAATATAATCATTGGCTGACATTACCATTTAAATAAGACAGTGCTGCCCACTGAAAGAACCTGATTCTGCTTAGGTAGAAATCTTACTGATTTTGACAGCCATGACACACACCTAATAGCTGACAGCTTTTCTTTTTCCAAATTCCTCAGCCCACTGCACTCTCCTACCTACTACATACACGTGTGGCTCCATTAGTGCTATACACATGTACAGGGAATATACAGTGATGTCTTTTAATAAGTTATTGCTTTTCCTTCCACTCTGTTTTACGTGACAACTATTTTAACATGCCTCCTCTGGATAACTGCAATGGTGAAACAAGCAGTGACCAGTTACTCCTGCAGCTGCCACTTTGATTTTTCCAGGGTAAGGAAGTGTCAAATATTTATTGAGGCAGCCATGCAAACTAACAGCTACCTCTCAGGACAGAGATAGCCTCAGAGAGTTCCTTCAGCCATGAAGAGTAGGAATTAGGCTTTGAATTCAGCCCATTCAGCCAGAGACTGATCCTCATAGCACAATATGTGTGGAAGACACCTCCAGATACCGTTTAGCTTTGAAATGAGTTTGAAAAGACAAAATAGTCCATATCCAGTCATGGAGAGATGCTACAACATCCAGTAAAGATGGTTATTTCTACTTGATATCAAGAGGTTTGAGCAAATGGACAAGCAGCTACCACTGAAGGACACGCTTGTGACTAAACTTTTCACCGAGAGGATGGAAGTGCCTTGAAGTTATTGGGTAGGTCAGAACTATGGATGCAACTACAAGGAAGGCAGCCATGGCTGTTTGTGGAGTTTTGTTTGTATGTGTTTTGCCACAGGAATTCAAGTGATTTCTCCTCCTCAGCCTGCCAGAGTGACTTGCTTTTGTGTGTAAAGAAAATGCACATGTACTTCTTCAGAGAGAAACACTTTCACACTTGAAAATCTATTGCTTGGGAGCTTGAATCATTTTCTAGCCACAAAATACCTTAATTTTTTTGCTTAAATTCCTTATAAACATCTCTTCAGGAGATTCTTTGTCCCCATCAGGTGTCCTACCTTCACTGCATTGTTGAGAAGTCGATCTTTTTCTTCTAACTGTCTATGCTCACTCTTCAGCTCACTGCTTCTCTTTAATAACTTTCGCTTCTCTTCTTCTTTGACTGTGGAACAATAAGGTTAAGGATGCAGAGGTTAAGAAAAGGATGTACTGTGCACTTGAGGACAGAAAGCAGAAGCAGGTGTTTTGCATGCTGAGTTAAAGGTCTCATTAGCCTTTTGTCAGCAGGTACAGCCAAAGAAACTGGAGTTTCTACTTGCAGGAATTTCTTCACTAAAAGGGTGGTTGGGCATTGGAAGGGGCTGCCTAGGGAGGTGGTGGAGTCCTCATCCCTGGAGGCATACTGGACATGGCACTCAGTGCTCTGGGTTGGTTGACAAGGTGGGATCAGCTACAGGTTGGACTCAATGAACTTCTTGTGGTCTTTTCCAACCTAAACAGTTCTGGGATTCTATGCATGTGTCTATGTAAATGGTTAGCATACAGGAGGACAACCCAAAAGGTACAGTGTACCGTTAAGGTGAATGCAAACACATGCATAGACCACATGTGATCCTGGAGGTCTCCAAGGAAGAGGTGAATAGTATTTAGGAAGAGGTCAGCCCCTTGTAGCTGCAATAGTGACCCCAGCAGAAAAACACAATTGTAACTGTGCCAGACAGTTAAATAAATAATAAATAATAAATAATAAAATAAGATAAAGGTCCTTACAAATATGATCTAATGCCCCAAACAGCCTCATGTAAGAGTGCAAATGGGAATTAAAAAAGAATAATGCTCAATGCACAGCTGGACATGCGCAGCATATGACTCAAGTGGCTGCCATACTATGTAACACCAATGGACAGACAAATAGAAGCTGGCATTGCTGTGGTGTCTGAGACCCTAGTCTGGCATTGTGCTACACACCCAATTACATGGCTCTGCTTAGCCTGACTGCCTCACAATGATCCTGCCTCAAAATCCTCTTTCAGCCCTGTTCCAGGGAAGACAACATTGTGATGATGACTTCCTCTAGAGAGTGAAGTTCCTGAGAGATCACTCTCAACTTCCTTACAGAGAGAAGAAGGCAAAGGGGAAGACCAAGGGGAAAGGGGGAGAAAAAGTCTGGTTTCTCCAGTCACTTGTGGCCCTATGACCTACACCATCAGACCAGGAAACATCATAACACTACTTCAATATTTCAGCTAAGGACTCAAATGGTGTTGCCTATCATGAGCAGGGAATCCCGTCTAAGTGGCTGAGTTAATCCCTACCTGTTTTATGAGTAACATAGGAGTGAACAATAGCCAGAGTTCCAGTCCATGGCACATTGTCATCTTTCTTTAACACCTATAAGCCCAGGAAATAATAAATGGTTAGGATTCCAAAAAATACATATTAATGTTTGCTCCAGCCTTACAGTTTGGCAGGACCAGAACTTGGGTCCTTGTTGCAGAACATAAAAGTGATCTCAAGGCTAAGCACAAGGAATTCTATGACACAGAATCTATACTTTAGTGACACTTTAGTGTTTTAGTAATTTTCTTCTAACTTTTGCAGTCAGCATTGTCCACAGCAACTAGAGAGTTTAGCCTATCTCACATAACTGTGATGAACAGCTGTGTGTAACAAATGTGATTTAAAGAAAAGGAAGGCTTCTCCTCACACCTTTCAGATCCACTGGTGAACAGTGTCTTCTGACACTGCCTCCTTCATCTCTAAGATTTACATTCTTTAGCTACAAGCTGGTGGTGTTACTGTAAAGAAAGGAGCTGAAGAAACTGAAGAGACATTTTAAGAGGAAAATTCTTAGCAATTCCAGGCAAGCTACAGCACTCCATGTATGTAGTAACTCTAGAATGGTGAAAAATACCAGAAATAAGTACTGAAAACTCCACTAAAAGCCTCTCTGTGCTTCTTTGTCTAGAAGTGACTTCTTTTGTAGTTCAGTGAGCTATGACCATAGGTTAGATTTGTACACAAATTTGAGGTATCTCTCATTTTCCCTTCTTGGTATACCATGCTTCATGTAGCTTACCTTCTGTTGGCACTTTGGGCAGACCCAGAGCCCTTTAGGGGTGGTTTTGAGGGGTGGGTCCAAGCAGTTGAGATGATATGCTCTGGGACATGTGCCACAGGGCTGCAAGTTAACTCCACGCTTGCAAGCAGTGCAGTGCTCATCATGATGGATCTCGTTCTGCAAGAGAAGGGTGCCCTGGGTAAAGTCAGTCCATTGAGAACTTCTCTCTATACAGCATTCAAAGCCTCTACTGCAGCAGACAGGCTCCTTCAAACACGAAATCTAATTGTCAAAAGGACCCTGACAGACACAGAAGACAGAAATAATAGATATATGATAGCAACAAATACAAACAACAAATGAGCCAGAAGCAAGTTCTATAAATTGAAACTGGAACATAAAACCCAACTAATCAAACACAGGAGAGAGGAGACTAATATAGCCAGATTGTGACATAGGAATTATTTCACTTTTTTCTTTGCCAGTGTGTTACTACTACAACACATTTATCGCCACACACGGCTCTGTCCTGGATCGGAGTTAATGTGGGGATCACTTGTCATTCATACCCAAAGCAGAAGGAAGCAAGCAAGAAAAGGCTTCCGGGGAAGCACATGTTCCATTTTTCATGCATTGCTTCAAAGGGCAGCTGGGGAAGCAGGAGGCTGGAGCACAGCCTTGGGCTATATACCCTCTTTTGTGAACTTCCCTGGCCTCTTTCTCCCTGGCAGTAATTGTTCTCTGTTCAGACTTGCTCTGACAACCTTTCTCCAGCAAGACTGATTAGTGCTTTGTCTGAAGCAATACATAACATGAACTAAGACTCATCAACAAAGTTACAGTGTCATCTAGTAGATTGCTATGCTAATCTGATGGCAACATTAATTACTCTTTTCAATAAAGGAGACACTGATTTTGAAACTCTCATGCCTTGTGAATCATTACAAAAAAATCAAGTATTTCCTACTGGCTTTCCAGGAAGTAGAATAGTAATTTTATGTTTTTTAATCCCAAAAGCACATTTTCATTTTTAGGAAAAGTAACTTAAAAGTTTCATGTCAGTTTTAGTCAGGCTTGTATCTTGAATTCTAAACCAGTCCTGTCAAAAAAATCACTCTCCAAAATATTACTCTTTATAATCTACCTGCTCAAAGAATCTGAATTTTAACTGCAATGCAAAGAGATATAATCTTTACAAACTAGAATGGTTACTCATTTTTCTTACAAAATTTTCATTAAACTCATAAATCTGGACTAGCAATTTCTCAATCAGTGGAATCAACAAAGGAACTAAACTCAAGCCTTGCATGTGAAAGAGTTCATCTCTTTGAAATTCTAGCTTAGGGACTCAAAGATTTAGTTAAGTGGGAAAAGAGAATACTGCAAATAGGTACCTTGAGAGTGACTACAGTAATCAGAAGCAAGCACTGAATACACAGTGATGAGAAAGATACCTGCTAATACACAAACTTTGCCACACATACCTTCCAGAATGAATCCTCATTTGCTAGCATATAAAAGAAGGGCAGAAAACAGATTAGTGGAAACTACATTGCTGCAGCAGTTGCTAGTTCTCATCTTTGGGAGTAATTTTAATCAAAATGTGGTATAAGAGATCAGAACATTGCCAAGATGAATACAGGCAGGAAAGAATGTAACAGCAAGCAGTGGAATTAGCATTTCAGATTTAAAAATGTACATTGCAGGAATCCCATGTCCAAAGGTCTGATGCTAAAAGTCACAGTATTTGAAATTTTCAGGAATTTTCATGCAGAGCTCCTCTCCATGCGCCAGTAGTCAAAAAGTCTTCCTGAAGGACCTCAGCCTGCTGGGTGTTGAAATGGCTGGCCCTGAACCAGCAATGTGGAGTATGTGGAGTATGAAATGGGTGTCTCCAGCTAATCATTGAGCACAGATTTAAATGTTGAGCTGATTCCTGGACAAAATGGTCAGCTCCTGTGGGAGTGAGACTGATGGTATCATCAATTCCTCATCAAACACCAGTGACCTTTGGATGAACTGGGTCTGTAATGATTGTATTCACAACCTGATATGAACAAGAACAAATAGAGCTCACTGGAAAGCAGGCCAAGCTTTCCATAAAAAAAAATTAAAAAAATAAATTGGGGAATTAAACACACTTTGGTCCAAAAATAAAAAGCCAAAAAAAAAATTAAGAGCTGTATGGAAACTGCACAGTGTTGCAATTCTTGCTGCTGATTTCACTGAATCACAGGATATCCTAAGCTGGAAGGGACCCATCAGGATCATGGAGTCCAGCTACTGACCCTTCACAGACACCCCAACAATCCTACCCCATGCCTGAGAACGTTGTCCAAAGTCTTCTGGAGCTCTGGCAGCCTTGGGGCTATGACCAGTCCCTGGGGAATCTGTTCAGTGCTCCAGCACCCTCTGGAGGAAGAACCTTTTCCTGATATGCAGCCTAATATGCCCCTGGCACAGGTCCAGCCATTTGCTTGGGTTCTTGCAAGGGGATGGAGCACACTGTCCCAGTGAAAAACACTTAATGGACAGGCCTTTCTTTGGATTGAAGTGGAGACAACCAAACTGATACTTCTCTTCTGGCCTCCTTCAGCTCCCTCCCCCTCTGATCAGAGTGGAAATGTAGCTGTCCCACTGTGATTCCTCATATCAGACCCACCTGGAAGTCCCCTCCCACCATTACACACTGGTTTTACACACTGATGTGTGCATACACGTGAAGATGTACACATGAGCAGGCCCACACACGTGTAGGAAGAGGAACTCGAGAATAAAGAAACAGTTTCACCTAACTTGGACCACAGGCTGTAAATCTCCGTGTCTTTTGCTAACAGCACACAGTGCTGCCACTCCTGCACGGAGTGCAAGAACAGGGCAAATACTGAGTAAATCCAGAAGCATCCTTCCAATGGTGGCAGTTTATGGGCTTCCCTAACCCTGAGCTTGCATCTTCATTTTTATATTTAACAGCCTCTGATAGACTATATTCTGTATTCTATATTTTTTATTTTATTCTATATTTTATATTTTATAAATTTCTCTACTTTTCCCTAGCAATCATAGTACACTCTGGCAATGAATCCTATAATCACAGACTTATAAATGTGTAGATGTTACTTCATATCCAAAAATACACACACAAAGATCCACCACTGGATGACACCATGATTACTCAGGGGATATAAATGTTAGTGAGATAAACAGAGGTTTGATAATTGAATCGTTTGTACAAATGATACATGTCAGGGGATGTGACCTCATTTCAGATAAGACATTTTCATATAAATGAATCCTGATTAATTAACATTTTGATCAAAATTTACAAGAATTGTCCTCTTCTATATTTCCAGAAATGACAGTTGTTTCCTGGACGTCATGGGGATTTTTTCTAGTTCATTTATTTGTCTTTTCACCTCACTTTTGCTACAAAGTTTTAAATGTCTTAAAACATGTCCACTTCCCTCTTCTAGTTGCTGAAAAATTAAACTGAGGACAATATTTTTAAAGGAGCATTTTTTGAGAGAAGGGGCAGCCACCTCTGCACTGAAGCTGGAGAGCTGCATCACTGCAGAGCCAAGCAATCTGGGACAGCACCTGCCTTCCGTTCAGCGCTTGCATGGCATGCAGCAAAACAGTGCTGGTGCCAAAAAAATCCTTGCAGAGGTGGGGAATTCTGCTATAATGAAGTCCATCTCAACATTCTCAGAATATGCAGAACTCCAGCACATATTCTGGATTCTGGAAAAACCAAAGACACAGGACTCAGAGGAATTAATGATTAAGGAGAGAGGTTGCTGATTTTCAGGAAGCTCCAGGACAGCTGCATCAGCAGATCTCTATCACTTGCCTCCTTGCTTGCAAATAAAATGAGAAACATGTAATGAAAGTAAGGTTAGAGATATCAAACCCTAACTTAAACCCACCAAGGGGCTGGCAGCACAACTTGCTAACAGTGCCATTCTGTCCTGATTTCTCATATGTGTTTACATGGAAAAAAAAGAGTGCTATAATAACACAAACAATAAATTGCAATTTTAATTTTGAAGATAAAACTAAGCCAGGAATAATATTCTTTCTAGTGGGGCTCACGTGAGCCTGGCTTCCTGCTAAGAGGCAGGTCATCATAGCTGTAATAACCTCTCCTGTCCTCTGAGACCAAACACATTACAGGAGTATGGTAAGTAGGCCAAGTGTCTGTATCTGGCATATGAAGTTTTGAAGGCAGAGAGAAGCACTGGTGCCTTTCAGTCAGTGGTCCTGTGGTGCAAGAAGTCAAGGCAGAGGCAAAAAGGTGAATCTCAAGTACTAAACATGACACTTGACAGGGAGATCAAGCAAATGCTGAAAAACTGTCAAAATTTAATGTCTCAATTATAATTACCCCTGCAAATGCTCCTAATACTGAAATAATATTTAACTTAGAAAAAGGTCTCTCTTCCCTCACCTCTAATGCATCTCAGTAAAGAATAAGTTATAAAGGCAAAACAAGGGCAAGGACAGAATCAAATTTCTTTACTGGCTTTGTCTCCTCTTCTGAAATACAAGCTTCTCACTTTCTTCCTTAAAATACTACATAGGTCTTGTCTGAAGAATTAAACTGTACTCAACATTCTCTGTGTTTCATCTCACATGTTCCAACTATTTGTCTTCTCTGTGTTGTACATTTTTTCCTGAAATGCACTTCTTCCCATGAGTTAATCATCAGCATCCCCAAATGGCTCCTCTGAGCTGTTAACTCTCAAGGCATTTACTATTAAGTTTCAGATTTGAAGTTCTTATAAATATAAGACTGGAAGGTATCTTCAAGGTCATCACATCTAGATTTATGGCTCTATCTCTTGGAATCAGATAAAGTGGTTTTCAGCCTTTGTTATTGAATCAAAAGTTGTGGGAAATTTCTAGTGCTTGAGGATGGGGAGCAGTTTCTTAAAACTGGTGGAAAGGGGGAAATGAAAAGCCTAAAATAGTAATTGTTTTTCAATACATATTTTTAAGCACTTGGAGTTGGCAATACTACTTTCTTCAATCAGTTCTCTCACTGCATGGTGCTTAAAGTGCCAGAGATCAGATTTTCCACTGATTGCAGAGGCTTTGGATCCATTTCTATACAACTGTGACCATTAGCCTTAGCCTTCCATTGTTTTTGCAGGAAAACAAACTATTTTCACTCCATATTAAAAAACACAGGGGCATTACACAAAGTAATGCCCTATGGTATCCTAACAGTAACTCATATGCCTACTAATAAATTTTTGGCATATCATTAGAATAGTAGTATATTCATTTAAAAATACGCTTACCTCTCGTTGAAAGGAACAAGGGGTTATTCAAATAATTCGATGCAAGGCGTTTCCGCTAGAAGGGAAAAGAAACCAACCCCCGTGTCATTGCAAAGTGCTCTGGTTGTCTCTTACATTTCAGATTATCAGTCTTCATGGGCTTACCTCATACCTAACCAGCTCTCCAAAAGCTACTTAAACTGACCACTGACACAGTCAGACAAACAGGTGCATGGTTTACCTTTCTAACAAGTTTTTCATACAGCAGTTTATTGTGCATTAAATTTTATTACAAAGAGAGAAATACAAATTGTAAATATTGTTGATGGGGTTGCAGGATATGTTGCATGGGCCGGTAAGAGCAAGACTGCAGCAGAACTAACTCCAAGCTCAACAACATCTATAAGGGAAAATCGTTGCTGTGAAGTGACATCTTTATTTGCTTATATAGAAATGGCCATGGATTTCTCACCTGCAGGAAAAGCACTACTACCTTTGTGACACCTGCCTACAGTTCAGAGCAACATACTGCATTTGAAAGCAACAAGTGAAGGCCTTAGCAAAATATTTCCCTTTCAGAAGTGAATGTGCAGGACCTTAAGGAGCTGGCAGTGATTTCAATCTGCTGAGATCACCAAACTTACAAACAGAGAGCAGCACAAACCTGTCTGAGATGTTTAACTCCTGTAAATGCAGCCCATGGTCAGCCTTGTCTGACAGCACAAGCTGTGGTCAATAGCAAGCCAGGCTTCATTCATAGTCTAGACAACCCCAAATTTTTCCCCTGAGCCGTCCAAAAACAAACTTGTACAGCAGGAATGGAAACAACACCATTTCCCTCCATTACATGTTGTTAGATTCTGCTTGGAAGAAAATTAGAGGGGGTTTGCTACTAAATTATTTACTCTGTGGTGAACAAATTGTTATCTTATAGATGGGTGCCTGCCAGTCTGTTAATGAATTTTGAATAGATGTTTCTCCAAAAAATAACCACCCCAAAACTTAACCCTTTCCTATGAAAAAAAAAGACTGAGGGTAGGAAAATAAAATGGTATCTCATTTTTTTAAGAACAAAGTTTTGAAAAGAAAAAGCACACCATTCAAGTGAAGACATAAGACCATGATCACATTTTTGCAATCGAAGTTAATATCACCAGTACAAATGCTGAGCTCCTGCCAATTTGAGGGGTGTTGCCAAATAAAAAGTTTAATTTATATGCAATTTCAATTTAAACCATCATTCATTAAAGATCATTCAGAAGACTAAACTGCACCAAAATGCCTGAAATGCCACAAATACCTCAACTCACTGATTAGCAAATCAGTCTGAGCAGCTAATTGATCAGAGAAAAACCATCTGCCTCCATTTTACTTGAATGACATTCCCCATGGTCAGTACTTAATGACAGCTCCTAATGAGCACACAGCTGATCAGCCACAGGAGTCTTTCACAGACATTTCTTTCCCCATCCCATCCTTCATTTCAGTGTATGCTTTTGAGAATAGATATAATGAGAAGTACAAACTAGGGGTGCAGCAGACCTAGGCCATCTTCTATTCCACCTCTGCTCCAAAGAGTTTGTCACAAACACCAATCTGGCTGGCTACATCCACAATACTCTGCTGCAACTATTTTAATAATCAGGACCAAAACGTCTAAGGAGCTACAGATTTAATGCTAACAAGGCTGAAGTTCCTACGGTGTTAAATAGTGCACATATGGACATCAGTATTTGCACTGAAGAAAATAGTTGAGGAATTCTGAAGAACTCAAGTGCTCAGAGCTGCCCTGGAGTATAAAAATCTCCAGTGTTTTCAAAAAAAGTACAATCAAACAACTCAGCAATTTGACTGCAGCAGGGGTTTCTTCTTAGCCTCATATGTTTGCTTTCTGCCAACAAAGATAGAAATCTGAAATACTGGCATACCAGAAATTCTGTATCCCTTATGCCTAAATAAAGAACAATCACTTTCTTTAGACTTAGAGAACTCAGAACACAGAGAAGCCTTGCTAAAATGGAGAGCTGGCTGCAACTGTGTTTCATTTCGGTTGCAAGTTCAAACATTAAACCCAAAGTGTACTGAAATTTTAAAGGTGAAATTTTAATTAGCTGAATAAATGCATATATGTTAGTTTAGAAACAAAGAAAAAGAAATCAGAAAAGTTAAGCCTATTTATATGCTGCTTTTATACCAAGTTTGTAATCCAATATTATGTAGGACCAAATCCTGATTCTTCTATAAATGCAACAGTGTAAGTGTAACAGACAATGGAGATTATACAGAGCATTTTATTTTTAATAATGCGTTATTACATTTATTATGCAGACTTCTATACCCCCTGCAGACCACACTGATTCTTAAGCCAACACACCCCTTTTCTGAATGTCACTAATAAAAAACCAAATATCTTAATTTTTTATTTAGCACATAAGAAAAGAGAAATAGCAATGCACATTTGAATCTAATGCAGCATTTCTGTTCTCCAGGTATGGTCTAAAGGAACTGCCTTTGTAGATGAAAGAGTAATTAGGTCCCACATTAATTTAGTCCTTTTGGTCTCTATTAAAACTAAGAAGAATTCTAGTTTGGAGCAAGTGATGTTGTGGGGTGAAAACCTGTTGCTTAGCTACTGAACTATTTTCCTTCTTTTCTACATCAGTATCTTTTTACAAGTATCTGTGGTTCTGCATTCATATATATTTTTGTAGTAAGAAACACTTATTATGTGAAATAGAACTGTGGTAAAAAAAGTGAATGATAAAGTACCTCTGTTTCCAAGAGTCCACTGTAGGCTGGATTTGCTGTGCTTCTTCTCTTTCTTTCCTGACGCTTGCTCTGGATTTCTGTAACCATGGAAAGGAACATGAACTGTGTATTTCTCATTCATCAGTGAAAAATGTAGATATAACTTGTTAAGCAAGATGATCTTACCCTCGGCCCCTTGAGCTTTGTGTTCCGTTTCAGTTTCTAAAGTATAATTGGGTTTCATCAGCATTTATATTTGCTGCAGTTCAAGGTTTGACATTAATAAGCTTTTCCTCGTGAGATTCACAGGCATTTTTTAGATTTTTCTTCCTTCAAGGTAGACTTCTGCTGCCCTACAAGAATTTTATTATGATCCCTTCAGACACATATTCAGCAAGCATCACCAGAGAGCCTTCAAAGTACTCTCAATGTCTGCTATTAACAGAAGGGAAGCATTTAAAGCAATTAAGCCTTTAGTTCATATCATATGAAAGTACAGAGAACCTTCTAAATTCAATTTATTTTACTTTTTCTCCATGGAGGCTAGAAAAAGCATAGTTGAAATGGCAGAGCTGGATTCAGTTCTGACCAGGGTGTGATGATTTTTCCACCCAGAAGCATACAACTTCATGATCCTGAGCTTGCAAAATGTCACTATGAGCCATGTGTGTATATGTGTCACTGCAAACACCAGCACACAGATGGGCTCCTTGGACTGCAGCCCATTTCTCCCTTCCACTAAACTTCCACAATTCCCTTCCACTAAATGGTGACACCTATTGAAGATGGGACATGCTGAGGACTGTGTTTGGCAACCACTAGCCATGTGCACAACTCTGTAAACACATAGAGAGGGAGAAGATTACTTGGCCACAGAAATCTGTAGGTTTAATGCTACTTTGATCTGAGCTAGGATTCAATTTACATCATATGGAATTTCTTTTTCCAGCTCCTGACATCAGTTCACAATGCTGAGATTATTACAAGCATGTCTTTTAGAGCCTACTATTTTGATTCTAAGCCCCAGACACACTTTAGCAAGGAGAGCCACAGCATTCATCCCATGACATGAAGTGTGTGCCCTGTTCCAAAATATTTCCTATGTGAATATTGTAAGTTAAAGTCTGCAATGAGGTACCAGAAGGATCTTGTTAGTCTAAATGCCCCCATGGTGGTGATACTTCTGTCTTGCTCTGTCTCAGAAGGAGAGGAACCTTGGTGCAGCGATAAAACAGAGGAAGTGGCCCTTGGCTGACTCTTTCCTTTGGTCTCAGCAGTGTGAGCTCAAGCTGTGGCTCTTGCAGCCAGGCTCAGGACCCTTATCAGTGAATTCAGGGCTTGCAGCATCTCAGCACTGCCATGGCAATGCAGAGAAAAAACTGGAGTTAGGACAGGCTCAGTCTTGCAGAAGTGGTCACAGGGATACAAGATTGTGACTTTCAATGGCCCAGAAAAAGGCAGCAGAGTTTCCTTTATATGTAACTGGGCCAAGCATCCCATAAAAGAACAACAGTGATGGATCTGTTGCTCTCTGCCCTTCTTGGTCCCAAGTTAAAGAGAAAATTTAAGAGCTGTCAGGGAGGAAAAGTAATAGCAGTGGGAATAGATGGAAATTAAGAGAGAGAGAGTAATGAATGGAAGCAGCTCGAGATGTACAACACATTATGCAGCCATCATAAAAGGGAGAGCACTTTATGGAAACAAAAAATCTATGTACATAGATGGTTTGGTATTGTGGTTTGGTCAATAATTACACCTAGGCAGAGCAAAAGCATACACTGGTGTGCTATCTTTTGTTACTTGTTACTTCTGCTAAAAAAGTATTGTGTACTTTTCAGAACAGTGTGCAATAAAGTTAAATTAAACTTGTTTAAACTGATGAAATCATAAATATTTCAGTAACCTAGATGGATAAAGATTTTTAGAAAGACCTGAACAAAAGGTTCTTCTTTTAAAGTTTTGCTTTCTATAATTTTTAAAAAAACAATTGTAATGTTAAAAGGTGTTCTAATAGCCTAGAGAGATTCAATATGTTACAACCATGCGCTGCATCACAGAGTTGAGCTATCTTATTCCTTAGCTTATCAATTACAAAAAATAGAAACCAAACAGGAAAAATTAAGCTCTAATACATTTGACAGATGAATGAATTTGAAGATAGCTTTATGTTGGAGGCCAAACTGCAGTGAGCTGCTGCCTTCACCAATAAACACTCTGCATGGTCATTGTATGAGGCCCATGATGGCAATTTATCTTCAGGGAAAGCTGTACCCTGCAGACCGTCAGTCAGTGGGCGCAGCTGTGTTCATTTACTGGTAAAGATGCCTCACACTCAGCCTCTGCAGAACAGAGCTCTTTTCCCAGGCAGGGAATGCTCATGTGAAGGTTAGGGGAAAAGGCTTCTAGGCAGATCGAGAAATCCATATGGAAGGGGATCACAGCCCTTCACCAGAAAATTAATGAATAAAATTAAGAAAAACAGTAACGCTGTAAATTAAAGATACCAAATGGATAAGTTTTTAATGATCACATCTTGATAGAGTTAAATTCAAAAAATGTGAATTGAGAAATAATTAGAAGTTTTAATATAAATGGAACTGTCTAATGACCACTGTTTCCTGATAAGAGCAATGACTGATAACTGTAAGCATGACAGAGCAGTAAAATAATAACCTTTAGCATGTGAAACCTAGAAGGACATTTTTGACAGCAGTAATCACCAATTCTGGTGAAGAAATACCCTTTCCATAGTAAGTAACTCTTGGTTGGAACCATTTATTTATTGCTAGTAGGAATATAAAAAGTGAATTTGTCTTCAAGAATTGATTCTGCATGATAAGTGTTTAAAACTTTGGTTTAAAATGTGCATCTCCACACTTGGTGTAGGAATAGAGTAGATCACTGCTTGGCATTTTGAACATAAGCAATAAATCTACACAAACAATTTATTAGTCCCAATAAAATCAAAGGGAATAGAATTATTCAAAATTAGGTCTGCTCTGTTGTAAGCTTAATTTGTATTTCAACACAACTTCAAATGTTGTCCTGTTCTCCTTAGACAATGAAAACAAGATCCAGTCATCATTTGCACTTTTTGGATTATAAACCTTCTCTCCAAATTGTTGTAGCTTTTTGATTTCCGTTTCAATCCATTGCCATTAAGGGATTAAAAATTAGAAAGGCTAAAAATTTCTTTAAACTGCTTTCAAGTTCTCAGTCACTGTGTCATTAAATGATTTTTTTTTAAAATGCAGATTTAAAGAGGAAAAACACTGAAAAATGGCAACAAGACCCACAGGAAACCCGTTGCATATACTGAGGAGACATTACAATTCAGATGTATTTTCTCACTTATTCGCAACTTGTCTTAAAATCAAAGAACTGGAAATCTTAGTAAAAGGAAATCAAGCTAAAAATGGTAGATACCTTGAGACAGCAAGGTAGCTAAGCATGCTCCCAAGTCTAATGCACATAAAACTTAAACTCAGTGCACTGGAAATTCCTAAGTGTTTTGCTAACTATGGTCCATGGGATGGGTGGTAAATATCAATTGCCATTAACACTTTTTGTGATCAAGAACCACTGTCACCTGACATAGATACCAGCTTTCTCTCCTTTGGATTGTGATTCCTTGGTGGAATCACACCAACTTGTTGTGGCTGAGCTTGTAACTAAAACCATCAGGGTGCAGATCTTTTCTTAAAAATATTTGCATCATCTCTGTCCATGAGAACTATTCTGCCACCCCAACTTGTCTCACACCACTGGAAATTTTACTAAAAAACCTCTTTTTTCCCCCTCTCATCTATAATTTCAGAACAACGAAGCTAGGGCAAAGAAAGATACAAATCTGCTAACTTTTGCAAGCTATTTTTGGAAGGCTGGAGAAGGAAACTGAAAACCATGTGATACTACATTTAGATTATGTGCAATATTCATTTGAAGTCATATTCAGGAGCCTGGGAAGACATGCTAAAGGCTCTCATGCAAACCCAGGATTGATTAGATGGGAAGTTAAGTTTTTGGTTAAGTGGGGAAAATGGAATGAAGGAATTCTTTGTGAGAAGTAGTCTTAAGTAAGTAAAATGTTACGAAACAAATGCCAGTTTTTCACCACTATTTCACACATTATTCTGTGGAAGTCTAGAGATGGCAGACAGTTAACTCAAGAACTGGAAGTCCATCTCACATGGACACTTGTTGCATATCTGGGCAAACATCTTTGAACCTCACAGATCCATCAACCATATCAGAGGTGGTCAGAGCCTTTGAAGGATTTTTGTTTCGCTGTTTCCTCCAATCGTTAACATCTTTTAAAGGACCACAATGACTGAGTGAGTCCAAATACCACCCTGTGCTAAGCATTCTGGTGGCTGGCTGCAGGGCCTGTCCTCATGCTCCTAGAGCTGTGCCATGGAGTGGGAGGCAGATCTAAATAAGGCCACCCACTATTGTGAGACTGAAAGGCACAATTGTGCAAAGGTAACATTTAGTCTGATCTTTTAATTTTCATTTTTTCTGTTTTCATGCCCTTCATAAGATGGCAGAAGGAAAAAGTGAGAGGGAATCTTGTTGATGTGTATAAATATCTGCAGGCAGGGGTCAGAGCATGGCCTGGGCTGTGCTCCACAGTGCCCAGCAACAGGACAAGAGGCATTGTGCAGAAACTGGTGCCCAGGAAGTTTCTCCTGAACAAGAGGAAGAACTTCTTTTCCAGAAGGGTAACAGGACACTGAATAGACTGGCCACAGAGGCTGAGGAATCTCCTTCTCTGGAGAGACTCAAAAGCCATCTGAACACAATCCTCAGTAACATGCTCTGGCAGAAAAACCAACAGGAAATATTTCACTCAAAAACTGAACTGTAAATCAATATATGCCATCTTACCTTCCAAATGTTCTGTTGTAACCAGTCCTAGTGCTACCATGAAGGCAATTTTCTAAGGAAAAAAATAAATTGGTTAGATTTTCTACTACAACAATCATGGTAAGAAAATAAATAAAATTAGCACTGAGAGAATAAACCCAGAAAAAGTATTTTAGAAATGTATCTTATTTGAATGCATAGTAATGTAAAGAACTTTAACTGAAGACTTACTTGAGATATGCCTGGTTCTCCTTGTATGACTATATAAACTCTAGCAATTAAAAGATGTCTGAAGTCAATGCTAAATACCTACTGATCTTACACAGCACATGACCAATATTCAGTCAATTCAATCAGTTCGATTTCACATTGCTAGCTGGATTGTTACTTCATACTTTAGTAAAATAATTTTGTATTATTTTTACAATCCGGACATGGCACTGCTTTTATTGGATATGAGCAAGGTGTATGAAGTGAAACAAGTTTGAACAGTACAACACTAAGCAAGACATCAGAAGCATTTTGAAAGTTCCCTCCCATTAAAAAAAAAAAAAAAAAAAAAATATTATTCACAACTCTTCTAAACTATATATGAGTAAAACATACCTGCATGGTAAAAAATCTTCAGAACATGCTGATGCAGTGATAGGACAAGTATTAGAGCAGATTCTAAATTTTCTGTCAGTGATTTCTCACTGGAAAATTTTTCCTTGCAGAAAGGTTTTGCTGAAGTTACTTTGCATGTTTTTGATGAAAACTGAAATTATGCTGTGTTGTTCCAAGCCCAAGCTGAACTGAATTCCTTGGTTTTCAGTCACATTTGTGGTACTTGTGGAGCTTTGGGGGCCTCCTCTTTCTGATCAGCTGAACAATCTTGTTGCATCAGGTTACCCAAGGGGCATTTTCACGAGGTTCAATTCCATGGGAGAGACAATCTGACTATGACATTCAATCTCTTGGGAAATCCAAGCAAACAAAACCCACAACCCAAGTCTGAGGAAGTGTACAAAGACCAAAAATGCAATTATCATACCTCAAATAAAATGTTTAGCTTCAGGTCTGACTAAAACACAGTGCTTAAGCAGTAGAATGTCAAAACATTCTGTTCCATTCAAAGAGTGTCAGAGGAACATGTTTCAACACTTCAAATTAAAATTAGTCTCACCTTCCTTTTCTGTAAAAAGCCTGACGATTCAACATTTAATTTCTGTTCAGGATAAAATCAACTAGTAAGTCACCAGAACTAAAATTTTCTTTGCAGTTCTGACGTTCAGTTATTGAAATCCTGAAAGCATATACATTCTCATTTTGTAGATGAAAAGATGCAACTATTGGGTGGGTTCATCAAAATCAGAGGGTCAGGACTGGATTGTTCTACCACTTTTGCATCTGTGAAAATACCTTTGTCAAACAGGTGAACTAACACCCATGTAAGACAGGAATACTTCCTTTCCACAACCTCGCGAGATTCCTAACTCTCCAGGTAGAATAAAAAATGGTGGTGTAGAATTTCCTCACTGGCAATTAAGATGAATTCACACTGTATTTCTGCCTTTCATATCTGTGGTAATTACACACATGTGTTCACTTGCACGTCAGACCTTGATTTCAGTAACGCTCACTCCTTACATGCCTGAAACACCAGCCAGGCACAATGGGGGCCCCACAGCTGAAGGAAAAGATGAATATTTGATCCACTGTGCAGATCTGAGAAGAAATTTAGTCAACTGAAAAGGATTACAAGATCCATCTCTGCCCCATCAAAAAGTAATGCTGGCAGGATATTTCTCAGCACTGTGAGCAAAAGTAATAACAATATTTAGGGATAGAATCAGAAAGCTGGAATGGTTTAATGTGCGTTTTCTCAATGGAGTGCAGAATTCCTGCATTACTCCAACATTAAACTGTAGGTAAAGCACACCTTTTCTGATGCCTCAACTGAAAATATTTGTGTACTGGAACGTTTGCTAAACAATGTCCTCTCTTCATGCTGAAATTGTTTGAATAGGTATCTAACTAAATGTAATGAAAACATACTTGCTTAAAATATGAAGAGCCATCATAAGTGACTTGATAATTATCTCATTATTAAATACAGGAAATGTTAGCTTTTATAGGAACTTGAAAGATTTTTCCTTTTAAAAAATCCCAGTACAAGCTGTATTCTTTTGAACACACATATTATATTAACAGCCCATTTGTTTTTACAGGTTTTGCTATTTTTCACACACCTGTAGCTCATTGGATTCAACTCAAAATCTGACTTCCACTGCAAAACTTTCTTATATCACAGGCTTTATTGTTTGTCCTCTGTACAGGAAGATGCAAAACCAAGACTTAATTTTCTCCAGATTTTCCATCTAGGCTTAATGTTAGCATTTAGTTCACATTTGCCATGCGTCTCTCTTGTACTTAGGAAGGATTAGAACACCAGTAACTAAAAGACTGGCATTTACGGCAGTAATTTTTCTTTCAGACAAAGACATTTTAGAATGAAAATGTTGCCAGATAGTTTGCTAATATGAATTTTTAAATGATCAAAACATTTTTGGCAGAATTCTGTTTCTTTCTGTGTTGAACTCAGGTTTCTTCAAGAAAAAAAGAAAAAATTAACAAACCCCCCCTACCCCCCTATCCCTACACCCTCCGCCCCACGCCCCCCCAAACCAAGTGAACAAAAAAACCCAAAAAAACAACATCCAGACATCCAGGGCATTTTCTTCCCAGAGGAGCATCTCTCTTTAGTAATTCCTCCATTTCTTTAGAGAAGTCATCCTGGTGGGAGAAGGCCTATCACTGTATCCATCATCATTGTTCTCCATCCCCAGCTAAGCTGTGCTGATGGGAAGAAGTGGGTGGCCTCCTCCTCCTCCTCCTCAGCCCATGATCAGCTTCAGGGCTTACCAGCAGAATGACCAAGCAAGTAGCTAAAGGCAGCAATGATCCTCACTCTTCTCTGTTTGTTCAGGTACACCCAATAACTGCATGTGGGATTCCTGGATACTGGTAAATCTTTTTTTTTCTAGTTAGCTTGTTTCAAATTGTCTGTGTAATTTGTTAAATCCCAGTCTCTCCCAGCAAAGTTTTACACGAGTCATATTGGAGTTCCTACCTCAGTTCTGTGCTTGGAAGAGAAATAAAATTGAGAAGTTCCTTGAATGCCTATTTTCTTTTTAAAAACAACTTTTAAAAACGTTGGTTCTGCTTTAAATTTAATCATCTGTTTATGAGATGTGAGTGCTTATAAAAATACACAGTATGTCTCCTTGTGAAGCAAAACAAAGATTTTCATAAAAGCATTTAGTTTTGTAATAACATGTTCTATTTATGTCATTACATGTATTTATACTAATTATGATGTTAGTTCTAATTACACTAATTGCATAAATACATGGTAATCAACTAAAGTTTACTTTCAAAGAACAAAAGAAATTAACTCTAGACCTACCAATTTATGGCTATGCAACAAATCTATGAGAACTGTCATACTTTAGGGCACAAAGTCAGCACCCTACCCTGAAAATTAAGGTTTTTGAGACCTCCAGTAAACGGAGTAGGAACAGTGTCTGCAATTAGAAAAAGGTCATTGAGATATTCTAGTTAGCAATGTAATGGAAATCTTACATTTTTTAATTCCTTACCAAAAGTGTGGCCAGTCTAATTGCCTCCTCCTGCATCTCTCTAGAAGGTCTTTATTCAATATTTTTTCCACGGGGATAAGTTACGGGCAAAGAAAAATTGACGTTTTTACCAAGCATTCTGTTTCTAACCAGGATCTACTGGCCCTTCTGCCCATAAGGTGCGACAAAATAAATAAGATTTTGGAAATACCTGCCTAAACAAAACACGACTCTGCAGTCCTGTCATTCACTGGTAATGAAGATTCATATAAGGGTCAGATTTTAAACCTGGGAGGTTTCCCAAGCGTAGTTTTGCAGAGCTTCTACATAGAGCTATGATATTTTGGGCTAAAATATTTAACCTTAACAATGTTTTACCTATATGAACCTCTTAAAATGGTAAAAAAAATGACCACCCACATGCCTCAAGTAATACAGATTTATACTGTAATAATCCTCTTAAACCTACAGCTCCACGGATGCTTTTGTGCTACACATTTATTAGACTAGTGAGGTTTAAAATTTCACAGGAGGTGAGCATTCCCACAAAAGAAGTAGATTCAGTTTGTATAACTTCTCAAACTGCCCTAAATTGCACCCAATCTAATGTGAACATATCCAGTCAAAACCCTAAATGTCTGTTAGGGAGACCCCATTTCTACACGGACTTGCAATTTATATTTCTAGTTTAAATCAAAAGTAAAATTCATGAAAGATATTTAGTTTCATTACCTGCTTTCTACTCTCTTGCTCAATTTAAAGAATTTTAATGTATTTCAGACTAGAATCTGTGTACATGTGGGAAGACGTACACAACAAATGCAGGAAACTCTTAATACCATCTAAAAATTGCAAGATTCATTATAAAGATGTTAAAAGCTCAGTTTACAGAACAAATGCTAATTCCACCTCATATACATCCTCTAAATCTGATACTGTATGTTTAATGTTTAATAACATAAAAGGAAATATCTTAAGCTTGTATACACCTTTCACAGGAAATTCAGCTACAGCCATGGGGTGCCCAGATTATGAGACTTCCAAGTCTTACATTTTGTGACAGTGGAAGGTTTGAATGGTGCAAACCAAATTTGTCAGGGCACTTGCTGGCAGGGAAAATACCCTGATTGCAGAGATTGAGAGATGAACAGCTGGCAGAACCATAAGCACAAATAAAGTAATCGCATATGCACACAGAAGAATGTTTAGATTTGTCCCCATATCATAACCATATTGTAGCTTATTTATTAAAAATAAAAAAATAAAAGAAATCACCTCTGGATTTTCCTCTTTTTTCTTTTTGGTAGCAGGCAGTCCCTGAGCTGACTCTTCAGGAAGTTTCTTTGTCTCCACTTTACTTTCTGTCTGGGTTTGGACTTGAGGTTGAATAATGATAACCTAAAAGACAATGTACAAATAAGAGAATTCACTATATGAAACTGGATTTTTCTGCCTGAAACCTTTGAGTCCTCCTTTACCTCCTCGATACCCTACAAATAAGAAATATAAGTCACAAGTCAAAAGCATAAAACAACAGGATACCTAGGTTAAGGTCCTAAATCCATACTTAAGTTTCTAAAAATTAATTCTTGGTGTTGCATTATAAACATGCTACAGCTTAAGTCACTTGATCAGTGCCTCTGAAAATTAGGATACTTTCTACTTAGAGGACTTGTGAAGGTGGCTGAGAAGCCATGTCTTAGCACTTGTGGTGTTAGTGATTTTAAGGTCTTTCCTTTGATTTTATTTTGTGTACAAGTAGAAGAGATAGGATTACTAAACTTTCAAACATGGTTTGATCTCAGTTGTACCAGTGTTACTTCAGAGTAAGTATATGGGGATGGGAAAGAAGGTACTCCTCATGCAACTGAGATTAGACTTCAGTCCTCAGCCTTTAATGTTATAAGCAGTGGATGTCCAGTTTTCCATAAACCAAATAAACTAAAACTGTGTTTTAAATTAAAATCAGGTCTTGTTTAGAACCTATAGTAATTAGGACACAGATCTCATTCACACATTTATGGTAGAATATCCAGCTACTCATGAAGATTTACACGATGTAGGTCACATTATCTAGAAGCTATTAAATTAAAAGGAATGAATTTCTGCCCACAGAACTACACATATGACTTCATACCTATAATCAAAAGGACTGTGAAAGCTTCAAAAAGGACTTTCCAAGGACTATTGCCTTCTAGATAAAAGATTATCAGATTTTAAGAGGCCTTTTCCATCTACTTCATTGCTAATTTTCAATCAATGTCAGATTAAGTGTCAGATATGTTAACTCAATCATTCTAGAAGATTCAAGAGCATAAAAAGGGATGGTTTTCTGAGCCAGCAGCCATTTTAAGTAAGAGAAAAATAATTTATGTCAAAGAAATGGGGAAGAGATATCTGCTTTTATTTACCTCAAAAGCCATCCTACATCCTATGTATTTTTCTAGCGCTGTATGAGAACCTGTGCTGCCACCAAGATCAAAAGCAGCAGAATTCCAATAGTAAATTACAGTGAATGTCTGCTGGGTACATTTGCAGCCTGTATGGAATCTGTCTCTGGTATAAGAGTGGCGAAGTTTCTTGCATTCCAATGCTGAAAAGTAGTACAAAGATAAAACAAGTAATTCATAGTTTGAATTTTTTCTTTTTACTAATTCATCTCCTGGTCAATTCTGAAACCCTGAGTTCTCATTTCATTTGGTCTTCCCCTGGAAGAGCAGAAGGGAATCTCTGATTATTTTATGTACTCCTTGGGATCAACGGACAAATCTAGTATCACTAGATTTTTTATGTATTTTTTAATGTATCATTAAAGAGGGAGTCCATAGGAAATTTGAGCCTGTACAAAATTTGGGGATTTTATTAGTGAGGATTTGCTTAAGGAAAGAGAAGTTCATATGGTCCTGCTAATGTCAGTCTACATAATGATGTGTTTTGTTCCCAGTAAAAAAAGGGCTTGTACACAGATAAAAGTCTACTAGCCTTTACGTGACCCTGTAAGAATTTTCACACTGCTTTCTGATTATTTTCTTTGAGAAGAACCACTGACAACACTCGACAGGTGTTACGTGTGGTCATAGGTTGGAGACAGAATCACAATTTGAGTCCGATGATCATAAGACAAACATCATCAGTTTATTGTGCAACTCCTCCTTTTGAAGGGGGTTTGAATTTCCCAGGCTTGGATAGCTGATTGGTTGGGATCTCTGCACTGCCCGGATCTCTGGCCAGAGATATGTTTGCATTTAGGATCAGCTGCGACTGGCTGAGGGTCCCCTGTGTAGGTTTGAATCTATCCTATCCTTGCCTTGTCTGGGGACTTGTTTTATTTCTGTGATAGTCAGTTTTGGGGGTCTGATGTGGCCAAATTTATCTGGCAGCTACAAACCACCTTCACTCTGACATTTCCCCCTGTTTGTTTTATTAAAAAAGCAAAGTGTTCTTTGTCCTCTGTAGGCACCTTGCAGATAGGATGGCAAAGGCAACATGATGACACAGATAATAAATCTAGTTTGAATAAGACTTTCCACTCAACTCAACAAGCCTAGCTTCCCTCAACCAGTGATGTATCTCCTGTATCATTGGAGTTGTAATAGTCACATTCAGGAGCTGTTAAAGCTGTTAAACTAGAAATACAAGTTTTTAAGATGGCATGCCACAGGCTCATTACTCAGAAGTTACAATTTTACAACTTAAAAATAAAAACTACAAACAATAAACAATTCAATTCAAAACCATTTCAATTAAAAACATACACATTTCTATCACTGATGTCTTCCAAAAATATGAGTCTTGGAGTTCAAGTAGGGTGATGGGCAGATTGTCTTACTACTGACAATCTTCTGCTTCTGAAAAGTTGTTGGCTGGCTAGGTTATGTTGTGAATTGATTGAAAGACAGGAGAAAAACATGAAAACATGAGAGCACCCAAGACTTCTGAGGCAGGGCATCCATCCATCCTGCACTTCTACCCCTTTCTTTGTTTTAACAACTATAATGGGAATAAAATATGCACTTTTGAATGTAATTAACAAGGTGAAACTTACAACTGTCTATATGCTTTACCATCACCCAGTGTCTGCCACTGCTGAGCCAACTTTTCACAATGAGACCTCCTCATTTATCTCAAAGGGAAGTGGTTCAGCTTCTGCAAAGCCAAATCAGCCAGTCACTGACTGACACACTGAAAGTGACTGACTCTCATCTTTAGCACAGAAATACCTGGGTTTGATAGCATATTTTTCCCTTGCCAATCAAGGTCATAGTTTGGCCAAAACCAAGACGCAGACTGGGAAGACTTACCTATCATATCTTTAAAGGAAGTCTTTCAGTAAGGAGTCATAGAACAGCTGGCTTTGTTATCTGTCCTTAGGTAAATAACTAATGATATAACTTGTAAATAACTGTAACTATGCACATAAATAAACAACTCTTTTGAAAGTAATGTTTACCTTTTTGTTACAAACAAACCAATTCAAAACCATCAAAGGAAACATCTCTTTATCTTAGTTAGGTTTTACAGGTCATATTGTACTATATGTCTAGAAGTGATATGTCCTTGTGCTAGTAATGTCCTTAAAATATTTGATTTTTGAGGTTTTTTGAATAAAGTCATAAGTAACTTGTCATTCTAAGGATCCCATAGATGGTTTAAGGTGTATATTTGGAGTTTTTGGATTTCTCTTGTGAAGGCTTCTTTGCTTGGTTGTGATTTTAGCTTATTATTTGATGGGTAGATACAATGTTAATAATAATCATTTAGCTGTATGTGTAGAATCACTTTGTAAAATCACAATACTAAAAACATAGTGTAAAATTAGTTGTGTTATTTGTCTCTATAAATATAGTTTGTAACATTACAGAACATAGATAATAAAACTGGATCATATTATTATCTAAGGACACCTATGAAATTGTTTCTTGAGTTTGGAAGGAATTAAGTTACTCATTTACACAATTATTGTACTATTATTAGTATACTTAACAACATTGCTTAATGGCAGTAGTGTGAATAATGAACCTTTTTCTTTCATTAAGAGTTTTGAAATTGAGTTAGAGAAAATAAAAGAGGAAGATGCTAATTTGCAGTATTCATGGGCTAATCAACAATTCTAATTAATTTAAACATGTTTTTTGGGATGATTATGTGTCTTCAATGAATATGTTTTCTTTAAGAAAGGTATAAAGACATGACCTCAAAGCTGTAGGACAAACTATTTTTGTTAATTTAGAAGTTTCTGTTACTACTTTCTTATGTATAGTTTTCAAGTTTTCTGTAAATTCAACTTTAGTTTTGTGATTATTGTATCTGTATACTCAGTTGCAAAAACTGAACATTAAAAGCTATGTTTATATTTTGGTTCGAAAATAAGAAAACATGTAAATTAGTATTTTGCTGATAACAGTGACAGACCCACTATATTCAGAAACCTGCTATTGACTTCAACAGTTGGCATGAGTGAAATATGAAAGGTAGTTGTTAGTGGTTTTCAGCATGAAAATGCTTTTGTAGACATTGTAAACAAAGTGACAGGTGGAAAATACTTGGTGAGAAAACTGTAACTGAATTTTGCTAATGAAACATTTTTCTTTTACACCGATTTAGTACCTCAGTGTTTGCTTTTATGAACTTAGAATGCTCTTTTTAGGACCTTTAAAACAAGCAATGTCTTTGAATTCTAAAATGTTACAAATATACTGGGTGTTATGTTGCCATTATCTAGAATTATTACTAAATGTGTTCAGTTAAATATTAGGTTTTATCATCTATATCTACAATTGCAAGCATTAACACCATAAGGTGATGAAATATTACCTTGGTGGTAAATATTACCATTAATATTATATTAATATCATGTATGTATCAGTATGAGTATTTAATAGATTTCCTTTTGGTGTTGACTCAATAACCTTTTAAACTCCAGAGTTTTACATTATAAATCTGACTGATTTGCTGTAGATTTGTTAATTGTTAGACAAACCAAAAATAGTCAATAGTTGTCATCTTTGAATAAAATATTTGCACAGTTTTAGATGACTGAGAACAAAACTTAATTTGGATTTTGAAATCCCGTAACTGAAATTGTAGGCTTTTTGGAAGAGGAAAGTAAATACCTTGATGCTTCTTTTTCTTTGGAGGGTAAAAACAGCCTGGAAAATTATTGTGAGTTTTATACAGAAGAAAATTATTAAACGGAACTAAAATCCTTTAATGTTCTACAGTATTATATTGAAAATTCAATGTACATTTGAAAAGAAAAAGATCTAGTGTTGTTAATCATAGCATGAAGACTAAAGCTGTTGAAGGCACGTAGAATCCAATATTAGAATTGGTACTTGTTTTTATGATCAATTCTGACGTGTTCGATGTTTGAAAAGTTTAACAAAGGAGCTTTTTAAATGTGCCTCAGTTTGTGGGTTGTTTTCCTGGGCTTGCTCTGTATATGATGAGCATTTTTATTGCCACAGGTGAGTAGGCCGTGGCAGGCTGTGGTGGCTGGGAGGGCACCCGCCACTCCCCGATGTAAAGAGTAATATGTGACCTGATCAGTACACAAAGATGTTTACAGATTGAACAGTAGAGTGTTGTCACTATAAGGTACCTTCTTTGTTAAAATACCTCATGTTGTGGCATGTTAAATACCAATGTTGTTGTGACAGCCTTGTTAATGCCACCTGCCCTTGTCTATTGCCTCTGCTGCTCCCGGCACTCCCCAATGGCAACCGATGAAACTGCCCAGTATGTAGATGAGCTGAACTCCCATGGGGGGGTAGCACCCAGGGGAAGTGGGATTAACATTTAATGGCCCCTAGAATCAGCGAGCCATGGCACAAACCAGACTCCAAACTACGTCGAGGAGTAAGGGAGAATGTTGCGCAACTGACCAATGTTCTGAACCTCGTTGCTGTAACTAAACAGTATGGATGCTAACTGTGAAGCAGAGAGCATGGTGCCTGTGGAAATTGCAGGCCACATAGCTTTCTCAGACTTGCCTGGGAAAGTGGCCTGGGAATCATAAAGAGGAATTAAAACAATCCTCAGAGATAGAGAACAGCCTTGCAGGTGCTGTTTGTCTGTTCCTTGTTTTCTTGCAAGAGAAGGTCAAGGGCTGGTGTACACTGACCAATGATGGTGATGTGTTAGTTTACTAACCAATAAGAGTTTTCTTTTCTGTACTTTTCACGTATCAGTCTATAAAAAAGACCTGAGGTAATAAACAAAGAGAAATTCTCCAGTTCGACTCCACAAGAGAGTCTGTGTCGTTCTTCTAACCGTTCCCAACAGAGCAACAAAACAGCACTTGCTATCCATGACTACCCTAGATTTACAATGAGACAGTGTCTTCCTAGAGACTCTTGTGAGGATGGAAGCCCCAGCTCTGCCATGCAGCAAAGCTGAACACCTCCTCCTCTGGGTTGTTCACTGGGAGCAGTGGTGGTGTGTGCAGCCCCTCGAGCCCCCCACCTAGAGCTGACTTCAATAAAGGCATTAAAAAGGGCTGGTCTCCTTGCCTATTCTTTTCACCCAAGGCCACCCTGCCCATGCCCCCCACCCCAGTCCTGGTGTGGGGTGTGGGGGCTGCTTGGGGGCCCCTGCCCAGCATGATGTGTTATGGTGGGCTGCAGCAGGCTGCGGGGGTCAGAACAGCCGTGCCCGCCACTCCCAAATCTCGGCATCTCAGTACAGCTGTGCTCACTTGGCTGCGCCATTGCTCTCCCTGTGCTCCCCCAAACAGTCTCAGGAAGCAGGAATGGGACTTTGGCTGCAGCGGGAGTGGTGGATGCAGCAGGGGTTAGGGGTAGAGCCGGGGCAACTAGTTGGGCTTTCACAGACCACAAGATGGTGGCCACGCCTTACCAGGTAAGGCCTGCCACATGTAGAGGGGCAGGGAGCACAGCACTGCTTGTGCCAGTGCTGCCCCTGACAGTACTATGTGCTTGGTACTGCGCCCCCACAGCTCCGTGCATCCCCTCTCCTGTTGTCTCTGCCGCTGCTGCTCCACTTTCACAGGCTGAGAGGGGGACACTGTCAGGAAGGCTGCCCCAGCCCCAGCCACTTGCTGCAAGACAGCTCCAGCTGAGGCTCCATAGCATGGGATGGCTCTGCTCCACAGGTCCCTGTGGCTGATTGCAGCCATTAGGGCTCCCCAACTCTCCAGGCACTGGCTGCCACAGCATCTTTCAGGCTTTCCAAGCCCTGGCTTTGTTATGATACGGCGTTCCGTGCTTCCAGGTTTTGGTGCACGCAGTTCCGCAATGGCACTTCTAGGATCTGGTGGGCACACCAGAGGGGACTCCCAGATGCCAATGAGGGGGTAATTTCGGCTGCTGCTTCCATGTGATCAGCGCAGCATCTCTTCCCCCATGGGCTGCCACTTGTGTTTTGCCATTTTGAGTGGGCAGCTATGTGGCAGCCGCCATCTTGGGTGAGTGACTCACACCATGTGGTGTCCGCCATGTTGGGTGACCCACATCCGAAGCACACGACCAAAATTTATCTGGCAGCTACAAACCACCTGCACTGTGACACACAGGCTGTGCACTCCCAGGGCAATATTCTGCTCATACCTGCAGCACCGTTCCTGCATGTGCTACCCAAGGAACTCACCTTGCTGTCGGCACTGATGAGAAGCGGTTGCACTTTAATGCTGTCGTTGACCACTGAGACTGTGGCGCTGGTGCTGAGCGGAGCTGCATTGCTGGGGGAGGTGGAAATGATGGCGTAGGCCACACCAGCAGCACCACTCAGTGGGGATGAGAGAGCTGTAGGCTCGGGGACACATTGTGACTGGCTGTTGTGTGTCTGTACATGGCTGACGGTGTTGTTGGCAGTTGGAAGGGCAGGGCTAGGGTTTTTGATGCTCACTATGGTTGCCTTCTGGAAGGTGGGAGGCTGCTTGGAAGGTTGGTCTCTGCACGGGGAGATTGGGAGGCTGTCCGGAATCAGGGTCTTTGGCCTAACCTACAAACAGAGAGTCAGGTGTTATTGGACATATGAACAAACACTGCACACGTGTGCTCTCTCAGTAGAATCTCTAATTGCATTAACCATGGACCCAGGATCATCTGGAAAATCAGCATGTAGCAACTGCAAATAGCCAATCATTTACGTACTTGTAGATATATTCCCAGCACTTCTCAACTGAGTAATTCTGAAGCTCTTAACTCACAGCAGTGCTAACCAATGAGTGAGAAGAAAATAAAATCCTTATTTTGATTAGTGCACATCCATACATATGCAAAGTCAAGCCATTTCCAGTTTTCAGTAGAGATGTGTAAGCCAAAGCTTTTGCAGAGAATGGAAAACCCAGGTGCAAAAATTTCCTATTCTCAAGGAGACAACACTTTTGCTATGAATTAAGGAGAGGGTGCTGAATCATTAAGGGAATTGTGAGAAAGCATTTACAGTACATTTACATACATTACTGTAAAGTGTATGCTTTTATACTTTATATATATTGTCAGCGAACATCCTCAAATGTTTAAGACATGCCAAGTCAAATGGAAAGATCAGTCACACAATCACATGGCTCACAAAAAAATAAATTAAATAAAGAAATGGATACAAGAAACCCACAACCACCAAACACCATATTTTGTTGTAGTAATTGAAGAGCTAATTTGCAGCTCTGGGTGGGTGCAGGAAGAACTTCCATGAATGGAAGAGAACATTTTGCCCAGCTTTGCAACAGCTGGGGCTATACCCAGAACCATGAATGATAGCTGCAATCAATTGTTTTCAGCTAATGTGATAGGTTTCCAGTGGTGTAATTAATGTCACCCTGTCAACATGGCTCTGCCTTAACATATTAAGTACAGTTCCAGGATTGAAAATAAATAATTTAAACTGCTTCACATGGAGTTAACTTCAGTCCCAGCTTATTCATTAACACAGTCAGATGAAACAGTCAGTTCCCTCTGTGCTTATTTAGTCCTGTTACTTCTCACACCTTCCATACTGTGAAACAAACTGACAAGTTCTAACAGACAGACATGGGAAACATCTGCCTGTGTCACCATGCTGGAGTCTACAGGAGCCCTTCAAATGGTGCTGACTTCAATCTTGAGCCTAAGTAAGCAATTTAATGAAAACACAGGGATTTACTGGTGTGCAGAAAACCATCTCTCAAGGCTGGGCATCATCCCCTATCGTGTGAAGAAGGAACTCTTTTTGTCCCCACAGCAAATATTCAGTGCAGCAACACACATGTTGCACGCTCTTTGTGTCTTGGAAACTTGTCCCTCAAATGTCGACAGGACCCCAACACCCATGAGCAGTGCAAAACTGGTATCACAGGCACAGTCCCGCTCGGGACAGTCACATTTCCAGCAGTCATGGTAGATGGAAAGGTAAAGAGATTTGTCCAAGGTCCTGCAGACTCGTGAAGAGCTGGGTAGCCACTGTGTTCAGCTCACAACTTTGGGGTGACACTGGAAACCCTGAGAGACCTGCTGTGAAATGATGCAAAGCTACACAGAACTCCAACAAACCATAGTCACAATACCCTGGCAGTAACTGAAGGGTTCTTTGCTCGTTTTCTTTATGCAATTACTGTGTGTAACGATTATCTGACTGGCTTAGTTAAGATACCAGACAAATACCTTGGTAAAGTAGTTTAAGGGAGGACTCTATAATTAGCTTCATACCCATGATTAGTTAATGGTCTTATTTTCAAAAGCAGTGCACAAAGCCTTGGTTTAAACCCATCAGTTCAGGAGTTTTTCTAGCCAAAAAATTGTCATGGAGTTTACCAGGATCTACTGTATCTGTCACTCTTAATTACAATTTTATATTTAATCAAAAGCCTAATTAAAACTAAATGCCTACATATATTCCAGCTATATAATTATCTTTTCTATTGCATGATGTAATACCTCAGTGAATCCTACCCACACCCACAATACACATCCTGCAGGTTGTGGATGAACATATATTACTTTGCTGTAAAATAAGCTCTTCCTTAGATGATTAAACAAACTTAATTTTCCAAAATACTAAATTCTTTATAAAGTGCTACATACTGAAATTATCTGATAGGACTCACCAAACTGAAACAGTGCAGAGCATATGCTGGGTACTTTCTGCCACCGTGTGATACAGAAGAGGAATAGCTGTTTTCATGGGCTAAGCCTCTGCAAACTTCCTAAGTTTACCTAACTTTGGGAGACCATGTTTATTTGCAATTACAAAACAATAAAAAGTGTTAACTATACAGAAACAAAAGTTTTGGGTACTCCTCTTTAATTTAATAATTTAAAGTGAAAATAACATTTATTGCTAGGGCCTGCAAGTGTGAATCCAAAACAGAAAGCAAAAGTATAAGCCCCTTGTGCTCCAACACCTATGAATGTTCTCCTCATAATATAAACACCAAGTGTAAACATTTAATAAACAGCTTCATGAAGGACCTTTGTCAGAGTGTTACCTAAAACCCCAAACTACTGCAGTTATTTGTGAAAATAAATGGTGTCAGCTAGGAAGAGAAAAAATAAGAAGGAAAAAGGTAGCATAAATTCCTTTCCCTCACAGCAAAACTGTAGCTTAAATTTGGGAGATGAAAGGAGGACAGTGGCACTAGCAAAAGTTTGGAAGATGGCAATCGCTGAATAAGAGGTAGAATAAAGCTAGGGCAGAGCACTGCACACACACAGTATCCAAAAGTAATTTTCTACTTAAAGTAGCACAGGTTGGATGACACCAGCCTCTGTCACAAGAGTTACAGAAATAAAAGGCACCAAAGTTGAGCAAAGGAGAAGAAAAGAGAAAGAAAAAGAGACAGCATGTATGTTACCAAAAGAACGCTTCAACTGTTGGCAAGTGTTTCAAGTAACAATTCTCAACCCTTCTTTCCCCAAGTATCTTTCATTTAACTTTCTGACAGCTGTCAAAACAGAATGTGATCCTACCAGGGCTCAAAATGCAGAAGAGAGAGCTGCTTCTTGAATATAATGATTTCATAAACCCATGTTGTTTTTGGGTTTCCTCAATACCCACAATAACAGAAATACTTCATTTCCTGTGGAAATGTTCAGACAGGTACTTCTCAGATAGCTGCAGATGAACACATTTTTCAAGGAGATATTCTTAAATCTGAGCATTCACTAGGTGGGGGCTGTCTGCTTTTTAGACATGGAATAAGAGAGGGCCCAATCCTGTGAGATGTACAAAGTGTTCTTTTGTTCAACAACCTCTAATTTAATATATTTTAAATAATTTCAATCAGGAAAGAATCAGGTCCTGTGACTAACATGACTTCTTGTATATCCCATATCATTAAACTCTATCCAGATGTCCCTATGTGAAGCTCAAAGGTTTCAGTTTCACCAAAACATCATTCCAGCTCTCAAGAGTACAAATTGCTGAATACTACAAAGGTGAATGAATTGCTGAGTGGGAGATGTGGGAGAGCCTGGTGTGTGTCACCACTGACAAAGGAAAATACGATCATGGGCAATCTATTTCCTGGGGTACATCCAAACAGGCTGAGCCACTCACCTCCTGTAGTAAAGAAAAATAAGGTAAGAAAGAAAACCTCTTACAAAAGAAGTCCTCAAAATCCAACTGAAACAACCATGGGGTGAAAGGAGAAGGGAAGAAAGTCACACAGTTCCCCCAGTCTCTGTGGGCAATGCTATGTAGTCCTAAAGAATTTAATTAGAACAGTTACATCTGCGAAGATCTGCAGGTGTTAGGAAAATTGTAAAGGGCATTTCTTGTAAATGTGTTCTCCTTCAAGCTCAGGAAAGAAGGGAAGTTAACACAGTGTACTTCTATTTCAAATGCAAAAGGGGTCACACTGATACTCCAGCTCACAGGCTGGCCATATGAATTCTCCCAGAAGCTGAAGAGTGAATTTAAAAGAAAATACTAAAGAGTTCTTAATTATGAGCTCCAGTAAATTGTTAAAATGGTTTTTTATGCTCATGACTGGCATTTTATTGCAAGGTTGAATTTACCTAACTTCACCTTCTAGTCCCTGGATCTTGTTATAGCTTTGTCAGCAACACTGAAGAGCCCTCCCCTTCCCCTGTATCAGATATCAGCTGGATCATGCTCAGCATCCATCAGCCCTTCACACTAGCAGGGCTGATCTGCATGAAAGTAAGTTTTTCATCTCAATGCAAGATCACATTGCCTTTGAGGAAACGACCATTATTCACACTTTATTTTCACTTCATCCTTGTACTCAGAGCTTAAAAACAAAAACACAAAATGGATTTGGCACAATTCATATGCCACAGAGGCAAAGTGCTGAGAGCAGCAGCCAGAGCTTTCATTCTTGGAAACTTTAGAGGACTACACAGAAAACATTAACACTGGCTGATAAAATGAGTGAAATATGGGATGATCATATCCTTCACCAGAATGAACAGATGCACACTGACTTCAATAAAGCTGTGTCTCTTTATGCCAGGAGGCATGAGGACTGACCCCCGCCCCCATGCTGGTTTAGGGCAAATTTGGGAGAAAACCTCCGAATGGGGTCCCTCCAGAAAACAAATTCAAGTGGCCCCTTCCCCAGCTGGCTCAGGATAAAAGATTCCCTTGGAGAAAAATGGAAAAAACTATTTAACAGAAATTGAATAATAAACAACAAAACCTCTTGCTGTTTGAAGAGATGGCAAATCCAGAAAAGTGCTTTCCATGGGTGTAGCTCAGCTCACTCAGTCTCTTATCGGTCCCTCTGGTGCTGGAAAGTGCCGAGGCCCAGGCCCCGGTGGGCCACAGGCGTGAGCTCCCGGGGTTTGGCTGGGTTCTCAGTCCAGAGCAGGTTTGAACAGATCCAAGAAAAAGGGTAAAAACCAGTCTGGGGAACTTCTCTGCCTCAGCGAGCTAAAAACTAACTAAAAGCAAAGGAGAGCTCTGTCCCTCTGTCTGTCCATGCTGCAGACAGCACAGTCCAGGAGCAGGATGGGGGACAGTGAGGGCTCCTTCTGAACACAAACTGTGCACTGCTTCTT